CCCTCCCCCCTTCAAACACTTTAATTCCACTTTTACATTTTCTCATACTTTTTTCCTTTTCCCTTGTTCCCCTTTCCCTATCCTTCTCACTGTCCCTACACCTTTGGTCCTTTTCTTCCTATTTCACATTGCTAATTGTCCCGTAAGGATCTTGAGTACTGTTTTAGTTTTTCACACCAGAGAAACTAATCGGTATTTGCATATATGTGACTTATTAATTTCACTTAGGAGTATATCCTCAAAATGTACCCATTTACCTATGAATGAATCTACTTTCTCATTCTTTATGGCTGGGTAGTATTCCATTTCATAGAAAAACCACATCTTCTTTATCCAGTTTCCAACGGATGGGCAGATGGGCTGTTTCCAAGTTTTAGCTATTACAAACTGTGCCTCTACAAACATGGGTACGCATATATCACTGTGGTATGATTCCTTTAATTCTTTTGGAAAGATACCCAACAGAGGGATGGCTGGGTCAAATGGAACCTCTAGTCCTAGTTCTTTGAGGTATCTCCATACTGACTTCCATAGTGGTTGCACAAGTCTGCACTCCCACCAACAATGGAGAAGGTTTCCTTTCTCCCCACAACCCCACCAACATTTGTTATTGTGTGATTTCTTGATAGCAGCCATTCTTTGTGGGGTGAGGTGGAATCTCAATGTTGTTTTCATCTGCCTCTCTCGAATGACCAGTGATGTGGAGCACTTTTCATATATTTACTTGCTGCTTTTATTTCTTTGTCTGAGAAATGTCTGTTCATTTCAGATGCCCATTTTTGAATTGGGTCTTTATATTTGGGGGGCTGATTGTTTTGAGTTCTTTATATATTTTAGATAATAGTCCTTTGTCTGAGGAGCAGCTGGTAAAAAGTTTTTCCCACATTGTAGTTTGTCTTTTAGTTCTGTGGGATGGTTTATTTTGCAGTGCAGAAGCTTTTTAATAAGATGAGATCCCAGTTGTTGATTCTTTCTGCTAGTTCCCGTGCTACTGAGGATTTTGAACAATTTTACTTTTAATCAGAATATTCTGGTGCTGTTTCCATTGGTTGTTTTGTTTTTTTGGTACCGGGGATCAAACTTGGGTCCTTGAGCTTGTGGGGCAGGTGGCAGAACCACTGAGCTAAATCCCCAGCCCTGCTCTTTTTAGGGTTTCTGGTCCTGGGTATTCGATCTTTTGCCTTTGGTGTACAATCACTTAACCTTGGGGCTCTGATGGGCTGTACCCCCCACCCAACCTCACAGTTATCGGCCCTGCCTAGGTTTGCTGTGACACAGGAACAGGAAGGGAAGGCTGAGTGACCTACTTCAGAAGAGAACTTGCACTGGAGGACTTGCTAGAGTTCACAGAAGGCCAGTCTGATGATGGCCACAGTAGGAAATGAGAGAGAACTAAAGAGAAACGGGAGCCTTAGTAAATCAGGTTGTCAAAGCAAATCTTGGGCTTGAGCAGAATTGCAGATTTGGAAAGAGAATTCCTCAGGCAGCTTCAGCAGAGTAGGGATGAGTAGGACCAGTGGCAAGGACCAAGGAGAGGGAAAAGGGAACAGTGGTCAGGGCTAAGACTGATCCCCTTAGCAGTAGGGTATACTTGCTTAGGCCCTGGGAGGTGAAGTCCCCAGGATCCGGATAGGCTGGGATGGGTGGCCTGGGGCTTACCTTGCAGGCTGTTCCCATTGGTGCTGGTGCAGGTTGGAGGTGGGGAGGTCTGGGGTCTGACAACAGGTGCAAATGCACTCTTCTGTTTCACGGCCGAGACCATGTTGGCTGGTGAGAAGGAAAAGATGCCAGAGGAGCTGCTGCAGTTGGAGGGGAGGCTTGTAGAGGAGGCCATGGTAGGGCTGGATGGCACAACTGAGAGGAACAAAAGGAAAATCAGGGCTCCTGTGGCATCTGGAAACTAGGAACCTCAGATCCCACCCTTTCTTGGTCACCCTACTGGGGCAGGCTTGGGCACGAACCTTCCCTAAAGTCTCAGGCCCTGTCCACGTTCAGCATTTGGTAGTTAACATGTCTGTGTTCCCTTTCACTTTTGGTGATCTGTGTGTTTACTGTGGGCTCCTAAGTGTCCAGTGTGGTAGTATACTAAGCATTGGACAGAGCCCTTTCCATCAGGGGAAATAACCCCTTCTAATTAACCCAGGCGGTACCCAAATAAACAAGCTCACTGAGTACACTATGGAGCAGAGCACAGACCCACCCTCCTTTGCACTTTCTAGTCCAGGAAGCAAAGTGCAGTGCTTTCTTATAATGGATAGAGTAGCCTAACACAGCAACAGAAGTGTGCATGGCCAAGTCTGTGGGGGGAAACCAAAGAGGGCTTCACAGAAGAGGTGTCAGGGGCATTACAGATAGGGCTCAAGTTAAGGTTACATCCCAGGGACTGAGAATCAAAGGAGGCTAGCCTGAGAGGATATAGTCACCGATAACAGCATGAGGAAGAAGGGTAGGTGGAGGTCAAGGCCAGGCTTCCGAGTTAAGGCGCTCTTAAGGGTGTGACAGTACCTTGACGCTCCACCACACAGAAATGGGTGGCAGGTGGATAAACAGACAGCCAAGTGGGACATTTGTGGAAGATGTAGAAGTCCAAGTTCTAAAGTCTTTAAACTCACCTCCTGTGGAGCTCTACATAAATGTTTGTGAATGAAGCAGAGGGCTAGCAGCTTTATGTAAATACTCATGGGCTGGTAGCAGTGGGGATGAAAATAATCAATAATGACAGAACTTCGGCAACTCAAAGAGAAAACCTAGCTGCTCAGGGTTGAAAGAGTTTGGCAAATGTACATTCTCTACGAACCATGGTCCTCTCTGCCTGGCCTTTCATTATTTGCTTATAGTTATTAATCTTTTAGTCACTTCAGGAGAGAGATTTTGCACACACTATACCAAGGCTAATGAGCATATCCTGTAGAAAATTATGAATCCTGTTCAGTGATTTCCAGCACTTAATCCAAATCCTAGGCAATTCCTCCTGTTTTATTATGTTTCATATTATTTAATAAATATCAATACTGTTTTGTCATGCAGAAGACTCTTCACATTCTTTTTCATCTTGTCATTGGCAAAGCAACCTTTTTTTTAACACCTGAGCGAACTGAAACTCAGAAAGCGGCTTAGCAAAATGCCAAAAGCCATAGCTAGAGCATGGTAAAAACAAAGAATCAAACCCAAATTTAGTGCTCTTTCCACTAGCTCACCCTGGAAAGGAAACATCTCAAAATGACAAAATCCTCTTCCCTTGAGCCCGCTGGAGCCCAGCAAACTATTTGGGTAGTCTAATCTTTGGCCTACTGGCTTTGGAAATTTAAGAGAAGTGGGACTCAAATCAGTTATAGGTAGCAGCTGCCATGGGGGAAATGACCCCTTGTCCTCAGCCTGAGGCACTACCCAGTGGAAACAGAGTGAGTGCTTTATGGAGCAGAACACAGAGCTGACATCCTCAGAGTTCTCACAAACATTTTCTAAACTATACTTTTCTTTTAATGAGGCCAGCATTTTTATACATCTCTTAGGATTTGTAAATGTGAAAATACGCTCAATAATAACACCCATTTAAATTGCAAAACTCCTGCACTGGAGGTTTGATTTTTAAATATTCGTAGACTTGAAATCCTGCTGGTTCACTGACGAAGGCAATTAATCTCATTGGCAAATGTGATCATTATGTGTATTTAGAGGTGGGGAGCTTGTGGGGGTGGTTAACAGAGAAAGGGGTGAAATATAGTCAAGCAGCTCCATTTGTTACAACATTATTAGTTATCAGCCACCATACTAGAAAGTGTGTTCACCAGTAGAATGTCTTATTTTATTTTTTTATTCTGTTGGAATTTTTCAACATGAATGGTTTATGAATAATTAAACATCACAGAGGCAAAAATTCAAATCAGCTGGGCTTTGTGTTTATTGTTTTATTTGCATTCATGCAAATAAAACTGTCCCATCTGAGGGCCTATTTGAGAATTTAATACTATATTTGTGAGCACTGAGGAAATCAATTAATGAAAGTTAAATGTTCAAAGTTTCACAGTCTGACAGATGCAATCTCAGGCTAAAGTCACTGGGTGTCTGTACAGGCTTGAAAAGGGAACCAATCCAAGCCCCTAAATTGAATTGCTACCATATAGCAATTAGTTTATTGATTTAATTAAGAATGCCACCTTTTAATTTTCAGGTCATGATTGAAACATTTTCTGATTGAATAGATGGGAGAACACTGAAATGATAGATCTATGAGGAACAATCTTTCAATACATCAGGATCTAATGTGAAACTGACCCTCAACATTGACTCTCACTCTCCAGCAGACAGGCATGATATATGCAGAGTATTTGGGGAATTTCAAGTGTTCAACAAAGTGCTGGTTCCAAAGAAACTACAGTGGAAAAATAAAATGTAGTACACCCTGAGCGGAAAATGCACCTACAAAATAAAAGGCTGTATGTATACTTTCAGAAGTAACTGTTAAAGGCCAAAGATGACATTTTCTCTTTGAAAAGATTAGTGCACTTCACATTTGCACTAGGGATGACAAAATTGTTTTTTAATATGTTTAGTTAAGGTTAGTTTTTTAAAATCATGAATATTCTTTCCATGAACAACACATCTTCTGATTTTCTATAAATGTCTCTGAGTTTGACCACATATTACTTATCAGTAGAGTCCCTCACTATATCCAAAAAGAATTTGGTTACATATGTAAAAATTCTCAGAAGGAAATTGGGAGATTATGAAGACAACTCACAACATTTTATAGAGAGATGCTAGTCTGCTCAGCTTCTTTAGATGTATTTTATATATAAAGATGCCAATTTGCTGATCTTCCTTAGATACAATCTAAATGTACCTGAATATGTCCTTTTATAGCTAAATTTCTTTAATACAGAGGACAAGGCACCAAAGAATATTTATTATGTGTATTTCTTATCTTGCCAGTTTTAGAAAAAATAGAATTAAAAATATTTTAATGAACACACTAATCACGATGAGGAAAATAAAGAAATCATTTTCCTCGAGGGAAGATTGTAAGTTTAAGACTGCTGTTACTGCACTGTATAGCACCATAACTTACTCTCTTTCTACCACTGTGATTGTTTCTGAACTTGTGTCACATGGCAGGCCTCAGAACAGACCCAGAGTGAGCACAACGATATCCATTTCTCACAACAGTGGATACTATGGGTGCTACTTTGTACAGCTGAGAAAACAGAGGCTTGGGAGGAGACAAATTTGCCTAGGCTTCCACTTAGTAACTACCAATAGCAGGCATCAACCCTATCGCCATCTGACTTCAAGCATGGTTCCTGCCATGACATTCTCGGCCTGCTTTTGGTTCTAACAAAGTTTTGACTGCTGGGACAACACTGCCAGGTGTGTGGGAAGCTGGGAGCTCAGAGTCTGCTGCATGAGCAGCATGAAAAGGGCAGTGCCCTGCAGGGGCCCTCAGACAGGAGCCCTGCGGTAACCAGCTCTCCTAGGGAGGAAGAGGACAAGCATCTACTTACTGGCATAGGGTGAGTTGGCAGCTGAGCCGTTGAGGAAAGTTGGGGAGCCACCCAAATTGGACATGGCAGCAGAGCCATATCCGTTCATGCTCGTGGTGACAGAGTTATAGTTGCTCTGCTGGGGGGTGGTGCTCGGCACGTATCCATGAGGTGACACACTGCTTGAGTTGCGGGTGAAACCTGAGGGGACAGAAACAAGGGTGAGCGTAGCATTCAGATGGTGGCAGTCCTGGAAGACTCAGGGAAAGGAAGGACTGTTCCTTGCCCCTTACCACGAACCCAGAGGGGAAAGAGTGGGTGATTCATGTGTGTGGGTTGGTGATGCTAGCTCTGTGATTAAAATGGGAAGCAAGCAATAGACACATTTCTTAACAGATCATAAATACTTAGCAGGGCTGTGAGAAGTGGCAGTGCATGCAGGGCCTATAAATTATCATTTTGGAGGAGAAATAAATCCCAATCTAAAAGATGCACCCTGGAGTTAGCCGGTTCCTGTTCCCTGGGCAAGCATGTTATGCTCTGGCCCCTCAGAACTTTAATTGCAACCCTCTTTGGAATCTGTCAGGCATGGTTTATCGTGAAATGTCAAATGTAGAGACAGCTAAGTACACACGTCCTTTCTAGACCCCATACCAGATTTCCAGACACAGCAACCAGAAACAAAATCCTACAATAATATTTGATGCACGTGAACTAAAAATCTTATTGGGAAGAAAACCTTTTTAAGATAAAAACTTGTTTTATGTCAAGGTGGAACATGAGGTTGGGATGGGTCAGGAAAAAATGGGAAGGAAGAAAAGAGCAGGCTTCTGACCCTGGTTGGTGGCTTGCGATGCCTCCGAGACATTCACAGCCAGTTGTCCACTGAACGAATTCACACCCATCATCCCTGCATGGACCGAGGTGTTGGCAAGGGCCGGGAGCTGGTTGTGGTTGCGAGGGACACTGTAGAGGGCCTCTGCGATGTCGGCGGCTCTCTTCAGAATAATTTCCTGAAAAGTCAAAGGAACATCCCCTTCAGCTGTCCCCCAGGCAGATGATTCCTCCTAATAACGCCATTTTCCAGGCACTTACTATACGCCGGGTACTGTGCCCGGGCTTTCAGTGGCTCACTATATTCGTGTCTGTATCTCTGCCTCCGTGGACAAACCTGTGAAGTTAGCTTCCTCATTGTGCCATATCACAAATGGGAAAACTGAGGCTCGGAAAGGTAAAGAGCTCATTGAAGAACACTCATTATTTGAGGACAGAGCTGGAATTCACAACACTGTGTGACTTTGAAAGTCCATTATAGTCAGTACGTGGCAGCACCATGAGCTTTTCCTTCTCCATGAAGAGTACACAGGAAGTCTGAGGTTACTGAATGAGAGGAAGAGAAGGAAAGGAGAGAGGGACGGAAGAGATATAAGGGAGAGAGAGCGAGAGGAGACAGGGAGAGAGAGAAAGAGAGACTTCAACTCATGTTCCCTTGACCAAGGACCTTGACCTCAGGAGACATGAAAGAAAGAGTGAAGGGTTTGTTGTTCTTATAGTTTCCTGGGCAATTTGAGTCCTACATATGGAGTTGCTCTCTGAGACAGAACCAGACAGTACTATGCAGGTCTCATACTTTTTAGGAGAAGAAATCAAGCCCCTTTCTCCTCCTAAATTTGCTTGAAAACCTAAGAGAAGTAAAATAAAGCACCAGTAACTCTCTTCTTCGATTATGAAGTACATTCCCAGTAGAGATTAGTTTTAAGTGGAGTACTTTTTCTGGTAAAGGAAAATGATTCAATAGAAAAGGCAATAAAAGATTTACAAAAGAGAGAGGGATTGAATAGCCCTGCAACACGCCATATCTAAATTACTCATGCTCTTAACTCACGCACACAGCTTTTATATTTTCTATGCTTTCTCATACAATAAGGAACCTGAGGTCCTGCATTGAATGAGGACGTGCACACAGCTATGAGACCCAGAATGCTCACCTGGTTGTTGTGGGGCATCCCATACAGGGCTTCCACCAGGTCTGCAGCCCTTTTGAGTATCACTTCCTGTCAAGAGAAAGTAGGTACAGTCCTCTGAGTGAAGGCAGGTTATCGTGATCTCTCCACATGATCACGTTCCAGTCTTTCTGGCCATTCTTTGCTAAGGTACAGCTATAAAAGCAGCAGCTTGGGGATCCCCAGAATGCTGCTAAATCACCAATTTATCCATGTTCACATACACACTTAATCGAGTCAAAAGGTGAGCGTCATTGGTACTGCAAGATAAAATACATCACTCAATAGTCTGCTATAGGCACGATGAAGCACTCATATGTTTATTGCTGAATACAATTCCAGGATCATTTACTAGATTACTTACAATCGATGCCATTCAGTGCATGTTATGAATCCGTAAGATGTGTTTATTTTGCACTTAATTGCTTATTCCAAGAACCATGACCTTATCAGACAGGTCATTTTCAAGGAATTTCCAATCAATCTTGAGCTACTAGAAGCATGTAGCATTAAACTTCTTTTGTTTATCTCTCTGGTGTGGCAGAGCCATGATAGAAGGGGGTGAACTTGTCTACTCAGGCAGTACATTGTTTGTCTAAGGCTCTTGCCTAAAAGTTCTCCTGCCCTCAGAAGCCCCTCTGTACCAGTTTTCGTGACTGACAGCATCTGCTTCTTTTCTAGAAATTCTTTGCAGTGTCAGTATTATTTGTCATTTTCCCCACTTGTGCCCTCCTTCTCATCCTAGATAAACACTTTCTTTGGTGCTTATTCTGCTTGAAGAACTACCTCCCTCTCTTCATTTAGCTGGGCATCCACATTTAACGGGCACAGTTTTAGTAACCCAAGTAAGCTAAAAAGTGCATGGGCTGGTGATTTTTCATTCTGACAAAAAGAAATCATTCTTCCTTCTTTTTGGCCCTAATTAGCTGAAAAGTTGTTACACTGGAAAGTGCAAAGAAAGGCCAATTTAAGCTTCATGCATGCACTTAGGAAAGTTGAGCAGAGAATCAAACCCAAGAGTGGGTATGATTATCAGAGGTGATTTGCAAGAAAATTTGTTTACTCTTCCTTGCTGTTGGGAAAGTTTCAAACAAAAGTTTAACTTTAAATATTTTACACAATAGAGTTCTGCATGGAGAAGCAGTACTGTTCAATTTTCATATACTGCAGACACTGATCAGAAAATAGGGATATAATTGCATTCATTTTGCTGTCACCATAGCCTCTTCAAAAATCCTTGAACAACTCTTGAAGTGACAAGCTTTTAGATACATATTAGCATTTTTCAATTTTAAATTCTCTATAATATGAGATGAAACAGTTGTCATACTGAAGTAACTACTTATGACATATATAATGTCCTAAATTCAAAAATGACATGGAAGGGTTTTCAGTTCTCGATAAACATGTAAGCCTGCCTTACGCCGCCGACCCCCTTTAAAACAATTCAGTGATTTTTCAGGTAAGGAGTGAAAGGCATTATATAATCAATTGGGTTTGGACCAATATGTCTGAAATCATTTCTTTACTTCTTAATGCAACCTGCAAGATAATTTACTACTTTTTGTTTGCAGTAATGTCTGACCACAGCAGTAAATAATTTACTCTGATGTGTGCGTGTGCTAAACCCTACCCTCAGATCAAATTCAGCTTGTGTTGCTTGCACTAAAACCTAATGGTTTTATCTGGCTCTTAGGAAAGATGAAAACAAAACAGGATCAAGTGAGTTCATTTGCTAAGATTTGACATCTCTAAGTCTATGTTCATGTATCTCCTCAAATAAATGTCTATGCCAATGTTTTGGCTTGGCTTGGTAGAGAGGATTTTTTTTTTTCCGATGTTGGAAAAAAACACACAAGTCTTCAGTTTGTCAAAAACACAGTAAGATGCACAAAGACATTAGGCTTGTGAAGCTCACTCCTGTGGCACTATAATTGGGGACTTAGAAAACAGCCTTCCTTACCTTAGTAAATTTCACAGAACCAGGGAAAAGAAGAATTCACAACTAACTCAAAGGTCTTGGAAGGTTTTGTAAACCTGGAAAGGTCCATCCGTTGGTGTATATTATGTATTTTTGTCTTACAGGTCATTGGTAATAAAGTTTTGATGATACAGTTCACCAGGTATTTTGGTACCAGGGCTGGTCACTATTTAATCCTTTAGAGTGAAGCACGTGGATCTTGCCTCCTTGAGTTCTTTGACCCCCACCCATGCTGCCTTTTTTGCTCTGTGACAGTGGGGCCTGTTTCCACTCGGCCTAGTGCCACAGGTGCATCATCAGCACAGAGTTGCTTCAGGCCAGTGGTCTTAAAAGTGAGGAGACTGAACTTGGACTTCTTGTCCTGGAAGCTATGTCCTTAAACAGTATTGCTCCCATTTTAAAGCGCACTTAACTGCAGTGCCAACTTTGGGGTTTAAGGGAGATCCACATTTGGCACAGCACCGACAATGTGATTCAGCTTCTGTTATTTCTGCAAATGGGGAGAAAGGATATTTCTGGGTCCTCCATGAGTTAGTACAACAACCTGCAAGGGGCTTGGATTTCGGTGACCAGAAAATTGCTCTCACCTCTGTGTCATTACGTTCCCGGTGAACTAGCCCCTAAGCGTGTTTGTGTTGGGGATCTAATATATTGCCTTTCAATCAGAGCTGAGAGCCACTGAACACACAGACAGAACATGACGAGCAGGTCAGGAAAGCAATAAAGATTTTACAGAGCTGTCCAAGGTGCTAAATTTACTCAATAATGGGTTTGGCACCATAGTGTTAACCTCTCATTTACTACCAGTTTGAGGAACTAAATTGAAGTAGCTGACTTCATTTACCTTGAAATGTATATTTTATGACATTATGTAAGTAGATTGAAAGGGCACTGCAGTTTTAACAATTTAAAGGCTAAAGCATGTTTAAGATGAAACTTGAATATTTATTGTATATTGCACTTAAAGTATATAGAATGTTAAAATGTATTGATTAAATTTGTAAAAGGCATTATAAAAATGACAGGTAGTATAAAAGATATATGCCTTTTAAAATCAAATTGATAGTGTGTGCTATCTCTTCTGTGGTCACAAGTGTAATCTTTTTGCAGTTTTATATGGTAATTTGGAAAATCTGTAATTTCACATTAGGAAATGATTGAACCTGAGATGTTAAGAAAAAAAGGAAATCTCCCATAAGGAGAAGAGTCGGATGTTTCATGTAGCTTTGTGTCCATGAATTGTTCCTAAAGTCCTATTTTTGTAATATTAGGAGGGAGCATAGTATAAGGATCCCTTGTCTCTAATATTCTATTTTAATAAATCTGAAAAGAAAGAACACTTGGTAGAACTAACAGCTAATTTTTCAAGGCATTTGTTTGTCAGGAGAGATTTTTGTCTTCTTTTCATAATATTTAAAATGTCTCCCTGCTTGCAGTTTCAAATGCAAGTGTAGAGAGATTAGACACTTCTAAGATAATCCTATCCTTGGATTTTTAAGAATCCCATTCAGGGATTAGATTATGACAACAAATCCTAGTACCCTTAATATTGAAAAGCCCCAGGTCCTCCTTAAAAAGGCAATGCATGTTCTCCAGTCTACATCCTGAATCAGACAATTTTTTTCTTCTCATGACTTTACGTCTTCTCTCTTAAAGAAACAGAAAATGTATAAGCCTTAAAAATAACGTTCCATCAATCTGTTTCCTCTCATAATCAAAATTTGGCCTCACCTGTTTTGCAATGACCGTCAATTGATGATTCTGTGAGTGAAGATGTGTAGGAAAAAATGGATTTGTTATTCTAAATCTATTTAGAGTTGACAGAAGTACTGGGGAGACTCAATGAGAAGTAGGGTTCCAAGAAACAATTCAAATGTAATTGTTGTGGGTTTTACCTATGACTCAGAACCTTCATTATAAAAATGCTAACTGGGCCACAAATACAGAGAGAAGATTCAGGCTTACTTTCCATATTGCAAACCATTCATTTGGTGAGTAATTCTTGAGCTCCATGCTGCCCAAGTTATCACGTGTGGGTATTATTCTCCAGCACCTTTCAAGACTCCTTAACTTTGTAACACTTAGCTGTGAGGTTCTGTAGGGGTTACACAAAATTGCCTCCATCCTCTGGTTCTGCTTCCTTATTTCGTCTCTCCTGCATTTGAATAAGTGCCCTCTATTTCTGTTCTACTTACTCCTCCCTGGCCTAGAAGCAAAAGGTTTGGCTTCTTCCTGTCTCTACAGCCTCATTCCTTTTGCCATTCCTTCTACTGGATTCCTTCTCTGGAACACCCATGTGAAGTGCCTCTTGCTCTCCTAACGCCTGGTACTGAAGGTAGTGGTAGTGGTGTAGTGATGAAAGACAGGGCTGTCATTTACTGAAAATGAAACACAAACTCAGCCTTTGCTGAGAGCCTCTTACTGTGTTCTTGTTACCATTTGGCAAAGGAGGAAACTGAGTCTAAAGCAAGTAACTTACCCTGAGTGTACACAGCTGATCACTGGCTAGGCAAGGACTTAACCTCGGGCATGTTAGACAAAGGAGCCTGAGCTCTTCATAAGTATGCTATTCTATCAGGAATATTCTACCTTCATCAGTATCCTACCTCTTAATCTCTCACATTTTTCCAACAAAAAATAGTGTTGACCATCTGTACCACCAAGCATGGCACAAAGTACATGCTATAAAGGCCATTTTACTTTGATACAAAGTATGTAATTCTTCATTCTCTCCAGCTACAATGTAGACTCTCTTGGAGCACACAGATACATCCTAATTTTTTTTTCTCTAAGCCCCTAGCACCATCAGCAAAATATAGGCCTTGAGAAATTCTTGCTGAAGAGTTTATTCTCAGAAAACAGACCTGATTTTAAGAAATGCATGGATAATTTATATGATGAAATGACAGTCATATATTTGGCACAGACTTAAATTTGGTGTTTCATTTGGCTGCAGACTTTTTAATCCAATATATAAATTCCCAAAGGTCAAGTTTTGATCACTGAGTTTTTTTAATGTCACTTTTTTTTATGAATTTGCTCTTTCACTCCTGCTAGCTGTGCTTACACTTTAATTTTATGATTAACTTAATGAATCATGTCTAGCACAGACATTATCTCAAGTTATAGGCTACAAGTAACATGAGGTTGGTCTTCGTGAACATCAACCTTTTATATTCTTGGGCCTTTAAAAATACTGAGGTATTTGCACATTTACAGAAAGCCATCTTGGGAACCAGGCATATCATGTCAAATATATAGACAAAGCTAACTCATTTTTCCTTCTACCTAATAGCAGTAAGCTCTAAAGATTATTTATCATACCTTGGGATCTTCTCTTTAGCATTTGATCTCAGAAATGTTGCTCATGTGCTTGTAGTCACTGGCTACATCTAACCTTCCACGCTGAAGGGGACATTGTCCGGCTGACCAATATTATAAACCAAATTCAGCATTTTGAGAAACTCAAACCCAGATGAGCAGAGGAGATGGCTTGAATTTTCTTTTGCTCACACAGTATAGGCCAACTAATAAAGCCATTTAGCAACATGACATTAATTTTCAAATTTCAGTTAGGTTTTGAGGCACTGAGAACTCTCTTATAAAATTAAGACCCAGGGAAGATTTAGTAATTGGAGAGGATGATGTGAGCTTGACCTTATGCTCACCCAGCTGGGATATGACATTCTGAGGAAAGTAGAAGAAAGCAGAAGATACCTACAACCATCAACTCACAAACTCAAGCTGGTTTAGGTGATTCTTGAGAAAGAAGTGCTGTTTTTTTTCTGTCACAGCACATTTTCCTGACCCCTATTTATAACGATGTACTTTGCTGTTTCAGAAGACCCAAAACCCAGCAAACTGAATATTAGCAACAGAAACTAAATTGGAGTAGCAAAATCCCTCCTGATTTAGGACTATAAGCAGTTATCAGTGGCATTGATTTCACCTGGCCTCCTCACTCCAGAGTTCAGGTTTTGCCCTGATCCCGGGACTTTAAAGCCTAACTCTTTTCCCACTCGTTTCTGAAAGTCTGGGTGACATGACTGACTGGGAAGCCAAAATGCTGACAAATTGATTGCAAGTTTCTTGTGGCCTATTTCCTGCACAGCCAGTGTGCAATCCAATAAATACTAGTTGTATCAAGATGTATTTCTTTGGAGGATACTTTTGATATCCCAACTTCCTTTGTGTTTATTCAGCCAAATGGAAAATTCCACAGTGCATTCTAAAAAATCAGTATAATGAGGGCAGTGAGGGAAAGAGTAAAACAAACCAAAATAACACATGGGTACTGTTTAGCTTCCAATCCTCTGAGACATTCCTGAAATTTTTCATTTTTCTTGTAACATGAACTTCTCTAAATAGAGCTTACCACAGATCATTAGAAGACTTCAGTGTCACACTTTAAATACTCTTTACTCAGAAGCCCTATGTCTGAGAAGAGTCACTTACACTTAGCATGAGCATGGATATAATTAAACATTTCTGTTGAAAGGGGCATTCTCATTATTGCTAAGGACTACTTTAGAGTAAATTGAAATGGAAAGGAGGTGCACAGATGAGGTGTAGGTAGCAAGTGGTTATTTCCAGGGAGGCATAAAATGTCAAATGTGTGACAATTATATTTTACAACCCCGCATTCTAAGGACTTCAGAGTATTTTATTACATGAGAAGATTCAGCTGAAGTTTGACTGCCCTACAGAACATTCTACTGCACACTTGTTGTCCGTAGTCTTTCTTAAAATAATTCAAAGCACAATCACAACATGCAGCCAAACCCAAAATGAAGGAATTAAATATTTTGAAAGAGTTCACTCTTACTACTATGAGAAGCTAAGGCATCAAAAGCATTCTAGCCTAGAGAAAATGTAGGGGGATTTCAGATACTCCTCTAATTCTAAAGTTGATTTTATGTTCAGATTAGATGACAGCTCCCCAAATATATTATTATGTATTATCATCCAGCATGGCGGGAGATATACTGGAAAGCCCTGCCTTTGTTAGAAACATGGTGTAGACTTCTGAATCATATGAAATTAAAGTAGGTTGTAAGCTAACACAGCTGTATCCACGTAAGACACTAACTTACATGATTGACTTTTACAGTGCAAAGAAAAAGGCTGTTTTCAAACAGCTGTTATTGCCTCAATAGAAAAAAAAATCAATGAAAGTGAAATGAACAAGAGATTTTTGTCTGAGTTGCAGTTAATACCACTGAAGAGCTTTGGATATTAAAAGGTCAACAAATAAATTAGCCAGAGTGTTATGAAATGAATGATTTGGCTTATAATTTTATTGAGTGAAAATTGTTCGCTGCCTATTAGACCAGGTAATTTTTATCTGGTACCTCAATTATTGTTCTGTAAGCAATAATATAGTTGTAAGAGCTGCTGGTTCGATCGCATGACCTCTGAGAAGCTGGCTAGGACAGCTGACTTGGCTATGATGGGTAACTAAGCTTGGTCTCCGTGAGGTGCCAAGCCTCCCCTTCCTGTGAGGGTATCTCGAAAAAGAAACATTATAACTTGCTTCATTTTACCAAAATTTTTTACTTTTCAGGGGTCAGCAGTGAAGTGTACATTGTGAAAACAGGTATTCCTTGAAGTTGTGACAATGGCTTTCCCTCCTCTCTTTGGTCTCCCGGCCTTCCCTTCTAAATGGTGTCATCGTAATTGGTGAATGGGAGCCTGGGGTGATTCCTGCCACACAGACAGTGAAGAAGGCGTCTGCACCCTTGTGGATGTGACCCGCTCGGAGGAACAGAGCTGCACCTGCTAACCTCCAGCCGGCTCTTCTTATTCTGATTCATTGTACTGGTTTAAGACCAGCGCTCTGGGTTAGGTCCTGCCGAGTGGCCTTGGAAATCGACTTTCTGATCAGGATAAAAGTCTCTGCTGAAAGAGAAAGCGCTGGACAGAGGTGCCTTTTTCAGGGGCAGGTTGTAAAGTCAGCACATGAAACAAAAACTGCCTAGAGTCAAAATTACCCTTGAAAATCTTTTAAGTCACCTTTAAGTAGCCAAGGCCTGGCCTTTGAGAGACACAAAAAAGGCAAAAATTAACTATTTCTGTTTCCCTTTGTCTTTTAACTGTGGCTTCTCTTTCCCTAGAGCAAGGCAGAATAAATATCTAGCTTGAAAATAAGAGGACTGGTGAATCAGTACAGAGATGTGCTTGTCATATATATGTATGTATGGAGGTAAATACAGTACAATGATATTTCGGTGTATCTGCTATAGTTAAATTTGAACCAGTTCCTGCTAGAACTATACTGCAGTTTAAATATACTTAAGGGGACAAAATACAGTTTCTTTGTGCTTCTTAAATTGTTGAACAGTATCAGTTATATGACTTCTAGATGAGTTTCTGTAAATGATAATTCCCAGGTGGTCCTGATAAAACTACAGTTAAAATGCACCAAGGCAAATCTGCTGGGCTTGTGACTTCTCCAGGGCTTAACTGGGGTGCAGTGTAACTCAGGTCTGCCAACAGTGGGCAGACCCTGTGAGGCCCCTGCTCCTAAGGGCCTTGGGCTGTAAGAGGACAAGGCTAATGAAGGACTTGGAGGTGGAAATAAGTCTGCCCCTTGTTCTGTCTCTTACTTCTTCTTAAACTCATGAGTTTACTCATACTCAGTGCCCTGCACATGGGCTGTGATACAAGGTAGGTTAAACTGGACCCTCATCAAGAGCTCAGAGAGCTAACAAAGAATGTGAGAGAATTCCAGAACTCCGCTGTTGGAGGACTGGTCTTCTGAGTCCTCACCACAATGACTCTGCAGCCCGAGAGAATGATCTCCACGGATTGTCTGTGTATGTTTTTAATTCTTGCTGCCTCTTTCGCCTAGCTCAGCCATTTGTGAGCTAACCTCAGTCGATGCCACCGTATCTCTCCTCCTCTCATCCAAGCTGAGGGATTTTGCGATTAGTTTGCAAAAATGCCTCTGCTTGAGTTTCTCTTTTCTTCCTTCTAGGGGCAGTGCTTCCTACTCTGGCTGTGGGCCTCAAGTCCAAGGAGTTTGACTCAAATCCACGCTCTTCCACATGCAAGCAGTGTCCAAGGTGTGCCTGTGTCCCTCACTGGTGCAGTACAGTTGGTACCGCATGAGGTTCAGGTGAGTATAGTCGGTGCTCATCAAGCAGTAGCCAGCAATAATATTTATTGACACCCTTACTTATTTTCCAGAGAACTAGGACAAATTATATATATGTATATATTCCTGTAAATGTAAGTTGTACACCTCGAGCACTGTTTGAGATATAACCTTATTTACAAAACACTACAGAAGATTCTGAACAGACCAATGGTGAGGAAGTATGGGGCAGTCAAAAATTCCATTTACTCCTCTCTCAATCTCAGTTTCCTCATCTCTAAAATGGGCATAATACAGCAAAAACAGAAATCATCTACTACCAGTGAGTTAAGCATAAATAGTTTAAATAACTGAGAATTATTATTTTGTGGGAGCCATCGGTTTTTGTTTTTGTTTTCCCCCACTAGTATTAAGGATCGAAATTAGGACCTCGTGCTTGCCAGGCAGGCACAGTGCCAACTGAGCTAAATCCCCAGTCCTGTCGTGAGCTTTTTCGTGAAGCTACAACCTCTTTCCCAGAGGTATACACACACATACACACATGCACACATGTGATGTTGCATACCATTTCATAGGTACATAGGACAGGTCTAAACTAAACTTCCCCGATAAAAACAGTATAAATAGCAGGGGCTGCGAAGCCCTACAATGACCACATTATTAAAATGGAGAATGGAATTTGCCTGTAACTTTCCTGGCAGATATAGAGGAGGGACGGGGGAATGGACTACATTCCAAAGTTTGAGATTTTGACAAGAGAATACCAGAGACACAATGTTTGCAGAGACAAAATGGTTCCTGGAATCAAAGAACGGTTTTTCATAGAGTTGAGTATACCATAAGATTTACATTTATTTGTGTTTTTGTTTGAGTAAGGTCACTTTCATTTCTAGATGTAATATTAATAGTTTCCTTACATCAAAAAGGAAACAAATAATCTAGGCATGATGACACATGTCTGTAATCTCAGCACCCTGTGAGACTGAGGCAGGAGGACTGAAAGTTCAAGCCCATCTGAGGAAACCCAGCAAGACCCTGTCTCAAAATACAAAGTGAAAGGGGGAGGGAGGAGAAACACAGACAGAGACAGAGACAGTGAGACACTGAGACAGTGACACAGAATTTTTCTTTATCCTTTTCTGAAAGCCTTAGTCATCCCCTTTTTCTGCTAGGACTCAATGTGGTTATGCAAAGATTTCTTATTTGTATTTTCACTGATGCAACTCCAGGTTTTGAATTACTGATAGTCTTTGCATAAAGACTAAAACAATAAAAGCATAATTAGGATACATGGTATGCAGCCGACTCCACTTTTATTTTGCCCCAGCTCTGTATTTATGATAAATCGCTAAACACGAATGCTCTTTAGGGAGGGTGATTTTGGGTCTCGTTTCTTCACTGAGCAAAAACAGTGTCTGTGACTAGAGTCTGAATTTCAATTTTGCAAGTGTACAGTTGAACTGAATATTATTTGGCACAATGCAGCGCACAACTGAGCCACTAAATGGCTGATTTACTAAATTATTATTAGATGAGCCCTTGCTGTTCCAAATGAAAGTGCAGTCACTGTCTTCTTTCATGGTGTGTTCAAATTGTTCTGTGTTTAAATATTCAGCATGAGGCTAATGTGAACTGATGAACTGAGACTATAAACATTCACTTTCCATACAGATAGAGCGACAGAGAGGCAACATATCATGTGGCCCACGGAGGTGAAAATGATTTATATTTAAGGATGTTGCTGCCTACTTCCATTACTTTGAGGTACTCTTAATTAGCCTGGTGTTTGAAATGACTAATTCCCATGGACAGGAAGAGCTGCTTCATGGAGGCTGAGATTTTCAGATGCCAATGAAAAGAGGCTACCAGGAAGATTTGCTGCTTCGGTTATGCCAAGCTTTGAGTTTTATTTGTGGCAGGCTCCGCAGCAAAAGCAAAATAGTGGGTCTGCCAAAGCAACGATGGTGTTTGACATTCAGTGTGTTTTCAGACCCACCCGTAGGATCTACTCTCTGTCCTTCCTACTGTTCCTCCCCCTGACAGGGCACATCTCCTCCCTGGCCACACTGACACGCACCCTCCACCACAGACAACTAGCTTCTGTACTGACACCTGCTGGAATGAACAACCCTTAGCTTCTTGGATGGATAGAAGTCCTCCTGTCTCCTCTCCTTTGAGGGCAGTTACAGGCAAGCACTTAAAATACTGTGATCACTTACAGTAGATTAGAATTTTTTATTGGTGCTGTGTTGCCATAACAACATGAAGACAGCAGATGACTTAAGCTAGGCTTGCAAAGCAAAAGGCTGCTCATCTGGCAGTTAAAATGAATACAGTTCATTTCACAAGTTTCCCATATGGACTCTTAGTGTATGGTAATGAGGAGACCATATGGTGAGAGAAGATGCACTGAGAACAATCGGGTTCCACTGGCTGAGTGGGAAGCTGGGAGAAAAAACCCGGGTGAGAGATTCTCAAATGCTCTCTGGGTTCAAGGTTTGGCTGAGGTTTGTTTGGGATGATTGTTTTCCATAGGGGTTTCAAGTTTCTTAATCCGTTCCTTAATATGTCAGCTGCACAAAATGACAAACATCTTGCAAGTTTTGCAATATCATTCATCACAAACTGTCAGCAGTGTTTGCAAATCTGACTTGCAAGATCTTTTAAATGTGTTGTTCTTAAAAGGCAATAGTACCAAGTTTTTAGACAAAGTGCAGGAAAATTTAAGCACTTCTGACAAGCAGAAACATTAACAGTAATCATTTTTAAAACACTCCCATCTTTTGCCTGCATGTTTAGCTGTAAATAATGCTAGAATGTATAAAGGATTTAAAATAAAAAAATGTAATAAATACTTTTTATCATGTTTCATAAAGGATAAAAAATGCTCCCAGCCATGCACGTGTGCTATCCATACGTGTGAACATACAGAGATGAATCACTCCTGTTCTCCTTACTACTAACCAGATTGGAAACTGAGGAGGACAGCTTGAAAAAGCCTCTACAGTGGATTCTGTGCTATACATGCTTCATAAAAGATGAATATAAATGCATTAGTTAGACACGGTGAGCTAAATTAGAAGGTCAGGCAGGGCTGGGAGGACTGAAAAATCACACAACCAATGAGTGTAATTACTCTTTTTTAAGTCTATTAAGTGGTGTTGTTCTATCAAGGCTCAGGGGTATAGGACATGAAGAACAAGATAAAGTAATGTGTATTTATTACTCCCACTGGATCAATTTACCAGGTATTTTCAGCTCCATAAAGCAAAATACACAAATGCAGCCTTTGTAACTTTCCTCAGACTGCTTAATTTTCTCTAAAAGAGGGACTGACTCTTGGGGGGAAAATTTTTGTCCTGTGAAGGTTCCTATGCCAGCCCCTCTCCATGGAGGGATGAGAAAGCCGCTGAGAATCTAAGCAGGGTAGGAGCTGGGTTCTGATGAGGAAGAGGAAAGAGGAGCGACTCTAGACTCCCAGGAAGAATGTGGGTAGCCGGGTTGGAAGGAAAAGTGGGAACTTAGTGTGGTGGCCAGAGTGAGGCTTTTGAGCCTGAGGACCTGATGTGGAATCTTAGCTTCCCTGCTTGCTAGCTGTAACATCCTAGCAAATCTCCAGACCCTGGGACTGAGTCCTCTTCTGTGGAGTGGGGGACGTACACTGTGCAGGGGTTCGTGGTCCTCATACTGTAGCCTCCCTGTATGCAGCCACACCTCTCTACCTCCATTATCTCCTTAACTCCTGACAACAGTGTGCGGAGCAGCTGCTGTACAGAGGAGAAACCTGAGGCTGAGGACTCCCACGCTCCAAGTGGTAGATCCAGTTTCCACAGTCTATGTCTGCCTGGCTTGAGAGCCCACTCTCTCTTGGCCTCGATGCTGTGCAGAAGCCTTGAATAGCATTGCCAGGCTTACAGTAGGCACAAAGCAAACATGTCCTTGCCTCCTGGGGTTCACAGCTAACACAGGCAATGCAAAGCTCGAGGGCTGCTCACGGTGCTTGTGTGAGCTAGAGCTCATGGACCACTCATGAAGAAAGCTAGGCACGAAAAGGAACGGAAACATCTCTGACCTTCAGAACTGAGAGAGCACTTTGCCCAGTGTTTCTGGACTGCATCACTGAGCCACCAGTATCTCAGAGTTTCTGACTATCCACATTCCACACTCCCTTTACCTCTACATTGTAAGAAAAGCCAACCTTGACCCCAGAGCCACATTCCTCCCCTCCTGCCATGATCCACAGAAGGCAAGTCTGGTGAAACAGAACAGAATGCTGTGATTTAAAACCCTTAGCCTCCCCTTCTCCATGTGCATATGAAAAAGGAAACCAAAAAACATCTAGGGTTAGCATAATTATAGTATTTAAAATACGTGTGTACAGCAACTATCACTGATGGTGACTTTGAGAGACAAAATAATTTACAGAGAAGGATTATGCTTGCTCCTGTTTGGGAAATGTGAAAACTGCCTGCTTTTCCAGCTTCTCTCAGAAGTGAGGCTCCAATAAAACAAAGCCTGTCCAAGCTCTCGGAAAACGAAATGCATAAGTCTGTATACAAAGGCATATTATTACGGAAAGCTGTCTGTTTGGTCTTTGGAGCAGTTTCATTTGACAGGATATGTGGGTGGTAGTATGAATCTAGCTTTGTCTATTCACAAACACATGGGTTTAATAAAGTGGAGTTTGTTTTTTGAGGTGTGTGGTCCACAGCTCACGGAAACACTCTTGTTTGACAAACACTGACCATGATTCTGAGAAAGGTGGAGCCCATTTTCATCCCCCTAACAATGGACAGTGGGAATATAAATCTCCCAAGTCCACAGGAATACCCTGTGCTGGCTCCATCCGCCGCTTCCTGACCCTGCCCTTGAACCCATGCTCCACCTTAACATTCAGAGCCAAGAGGACAGACACTGTGCTGAGTCACACTGAGAGCTTCCTGGGGTGGGCTCTGGCCACAGTCCTTGCACGATCAAGTAGCTGGATGCAAGCTGCGGAGTGTTTCCTTAACACACAAATCCATTGTGTCTTTGATTACTCTTCTTAAACCCAGGAAAAGGGGGTTGACTATTTCACCATCAGGCCACCAGCAACAATGTGACACGTGTCTGCTGTTTGTCCAACATTTCTGAACATAACATGCAACTGTAAAAATATTTTCAAAAGTACGCAAAACTCAACCCTATGTCCATTTCTCTCCTTCACAAATAAGAAAAATGCTGCTTAGCTTCTTTGGATCTCAACCATTAAATAATCAGTTTTATCTCCTATTTTTCAATAGAGGCTTTCAGAAGGCCAAGTATGGGCCAGATACTATGTTGAGGACACATGCAGGGTTACCTCTTGATCCTTACATGATCCTGTGAAGTCACGTGCTCATCATTCCCATTTTATAGACAAAATGAAGCACAGAAGATACTCATCTACTCACAGGATTAGCGTTTCCTGAGTTGCAGTGATTGGGTAGAAAAGCTGTCACAGGCAAGGCTTCCACTCTCAATCAACTGGCAAATAATCATAGCTGCTCTGTTGGGTGCTAAGGCAAAAATATAACAACCTGACAAGGTGGGACATGCCACCATCCCCATTTGACAGAGAAGGAAACTGAAACACAGAAAGCTAATGAAGTTTGACTTAGGCCACCTTACTAGGGAGGGTCTGGGCTCTGAGTCCCACCTGGTCCATCCAATCTGACCCTCCATTCTGTACTTTCAACCTCTCCAGCAGACCTTAGAGATTGGAGGCTAAATCAAATGCTAAATATGAAGTGAATTTTCTCCCCATCTGGAAACAATATCAAGAATCTAGGATTCTGTTCTACCAATAAGACAGAGCACTGACCGTTGTATACACACACACATCACTTTGCCATTGTGCCCAACAGGAAATACGTGAGAACTAAGTTTTTGCCAGACAGAAAGAATTAAAGGTAAATCTCTCCATACAACATCTAGGCTATGCAAAGAGACCAGTTGCTCTCCAAGAATCAGTCAAGGTCAAAGGAAGAAGGGATGGCCCCTTTGAAAGACAGCGATGTGAGCATGTTGACACATTGTGAGACTTCTTCTTCAGGTGAGGAGCTTTCAAGAAGTCTTAACCAAAGTGAACAGCACTGCCATCCACACACTTGGTCTGGGGCTGAGCATGAAAGCCAGGCAGTTCTTCCCTTGAGGTCAGCTAGTGGACAGACATCTGTGGCTGTCATAGTCCTTACTCTCTTTGGGCCTCTTGGTCCCCCACCCCTCATAGCTGCATTGGCCTGGGAAGCAGCTGAGTGTATGGCAGGACCTGATCTGACTAGTGGCCAACTATGGCTGCAAAGGCAGCCAGGACATCCTAGCACAGACTTTGACGATGACCTGACCGCTCAAGGAGGTTGGTTCATTGAGCAAGGAAGAACACCAGTTTCGTTTTATGAATGTTTTGTGCACGTTCTACGAGAATTCACTGTCCTAGAAATGACAGCTTTAGATTGGCTCTGGCAAGAAATGGACCTCTCAACTACTCATTTAATTGTTAATTTTCACTTATGTCATGAATGACATTTCGTCTTGCTGTCACTAAACAGTAAATAGCAGCCCAACTAATTCTGTACTTTGAACTTCTTTAGCATCTAACTTGTCTATGCTGAGTTCTCATAAAACTTTGGTTGCGTTTTTATTTATGATCAGATACTAGTTTTTATTATGCTCAGCTGTGTTTTGCAGTCTCTCCCACATAGGGCCCAAGTTTCTCAGGTACACAATAGTCAATAAAAGTCCATTTCCTTCTTTCTGCATTGACAATAATTAGCAACATTTTGCTATACATAATGTATTACTCTTACTTGAATTTTGTTACATTTCTCATATGTTTGTGCTTTCTTTTCCAAATAGGCAGAGATGCCTCAGGATGCAAGAGGTTTTCCTATCTGCTCAGTCTCAAGATCTTCCAATAAATTTTCTTTTGAGCTCTTTCTTATCCTCCACAGAGCTAAGAACTGATCCTTGTGTAGGTAAAATTGCAATGCTCTCTTTGTTCACAGGACTGGCATGATACGGTGATTGATTAGCCTAGACTCTGGAGTCAAACTGTACAGATCTGAGTCTCAGTTTAAGGATCAGCATGGTTTGTGATCTTGGGCAAACTATTTAAGCTCTCCTGGCTTCATTATTTTCTCTCTGAAAATAGGAAAGTTAATAGTACCAACCTCAGGGAGTCACTGAGAGGATGAAATGGCATAGTATATGTATGTAAAAGTGAGCACAGCATTGCCTAGCACAGAGAGCTTACTACTTTTATTACTTCTTGCCGTATAGAAGCAAACATACAAAGCACAAAAATATGAACTTGTTATCAATAAACTAATTTTTATCTAGAGCAGTTTTTTGGGGGGATTGTTTGTTTTGTTTTTGTTTTTGTTTTGATTTTTGCCATTCACTCAAGTCCAGCTCTCCAGAAACCATAACACAAAAAAGAGATATTCTGACCTTTGGCAAACGCTCGGGGTCACCAGGATGCCTGGGAATGACCTTCTGTAATCTCTGAAAACCGTAATCAATGGTAGGTTCATTGAGCGCTGTAATGAAGAAGTCAAACAATTAGAACAGTTTCAGGAAATAAAGCAGAACATGATTTGCAAAATGGATGCTACAGAAATAACCGAGAAGTACAAAGTTTAATTGATACTCAAATTAGATCATCAAGTGATCATATGGACAATCTCTTTGCTAAGTACTTTCCCCATCTACTTCTGCTATTTACCACGGAGGGAGTCCACTGACCAAATTCTGTATTCCCTATCATAAAGGGTAGTAAAACGATATTTACTGTGAGGTTTTAGCATTCATTCAGTTGAGTTCAGAAGCTCAGGTCAAAACACACAAGGGCTTATCAAGGGGACATCTAAACAGGAGAGGAACTAAAAGTTTCTGCAAAATCTCTGGTGTACCACAGCTGACCCTGTTATCCCAGCAGCTTCTATGCATGGAGGACTACAAAGGATGGTGGGGGCACAAAGCAGGGGATAGAAATGGGTCTTTTCAGACACCTGACAGAGTCTGTAAAAAGATAGGCATTGAACACACCCTGATTCAAAACCTCCCATCTGATATTACAGATCCTTCCACCAGTGTTGGGATTATTTGAAGAAGACAAGTCTCTGTGGAGCACTAGCTTAGAGTAACTGAATGGCCAAGAATAACTCTTTTAAAGACTCAAAGAGCAAACCTGTAATAACATTTGGAGACAATTGGCCATGCTGTGCCCCTATTAATTAAACTCCCTTACAACACAACATAGTCTGGTCTGTCATTTTCAAGATTTCCTCCTTGAGATACAAAATCTCTTCAACCTTTCTCATCTGAGAATGTGGAAAACACAGCAGCACCATCCTCTGCCCTTTTATCTGTATCCTCTAAGTGCTGGATAGGTGGCATTATTTTTAATTCCCTCCCTTTTTTGTTTAACAAGAATATTCAATCACACGCTGTCTCCCTTCCTGAATAAAAAGACCGTTTTTGTCATTCCAGCATTCAGCTATACATTAGAAAACAGTTGCCACATGCTTTACTTTAAATGCATTTCCATTAACCTAAATTTTAAAAGTAAGATTCATACTACTACTAACTTTAAAAAACTGTATTAAATTCAAATAGGTCCCAAGGCTAATGGAAGCAATTTGTATACCAACCCAAACTGACTGGCCCACTTTTCAAAATACAGGTATGATAATCTTGTGGTTTTAAAAGGACATTTAAATTGAAAGACTGTGAATTTAGTACATAATTATACCAATAGAACCCTTTAACTTGTCAACTTGTAAATCTAAAAGGCTATCAATCATTTCTAAAGAGGAAATAAACCTTAAAACTCCTTGATTGACAGTGCTTACTTTTTATGTAAGAAAAAAAAAAGGCTGCATAAAGTGGCCAGAAATCCATTTACAAAAGTACATTGTTTTACATAGGTGAGTAAAAAGCCAATAATTACACCCCCAAAAGACACATAAAGCAGAGTAAGTACTTTTTCCACACTTGTATATTTTAAGTTAGAGTGAACTTCAGGTAACTTTTTATTAAAAAGATGTTTCCCAAATGCAGCGCTTACTGACGTTAATTAAGTTGCATTTTCAGTTAGGATAATATAATCATTTTTGCAAATTTGAGAGTTAGCCAACCCTCCCCCTTTCCAAACAGTCAGATTTCAACTTATCTCTTCTGGATATTAATTTCAATTACATCCTGGTGTAACAGATCTCTCTGTACTAGTATTTGAGTTGAGGCACAATATTTATTATTCCTCCTATTTTATGAATTACTTTCTAAACCCTTGAGAAGAAATCTTTTCTCAAATTAAATTTGCAGAGTAAAAGCCATAGAACTCTTTATTCAGGGACTCCGTTACTCTTAAAGTCTATGGTATTCAATCAAGAAACGCATGTGACAGAAATGAGTACTAAGGATTAAATTATTTATCATAGCCACCACCACCCATACTGCTAATTGTCAACAAATGTTTAGCCATAAATAGTAGCTTGAAACAAATGCATCATTTTAGCATCTGAAAACATAATTCAGCATCCTAACAATTCTAATTCTTGGTTTTATTTTTTCAAGTCTAAACCACCACTACAATTTGAATAGCTGACTGACCCCTTCAACTGTTTGCATAGTGAAGCCCTATTGTGCCTAGAAACTTGTGGATCTTAATTGAAAAGACTAATATATTGGGGAATAGTGTAATTTCTCGCCAGAAGGCCAACGCACAGCAAAATGACTGACCATATCAACAATTAAAAGAATTCCAATATCATATGAAACTAATAGCTAAAGAACCAAGAAATCATTCTGCTATAGAAAGAGAAGTTGAATTCGACATATTCAATTCATTATTCAAAGAAAAATAAGTATCTGCTGTAAGAAAGTTCAGTATGAGAGAGGACATATAAAGTAAGGCTGCCAACTTATTTCCCATGCCTTTATGATTCACTTTCTGCTCATATTTTTAAACACGTTGCTCTGCATTCCATTTAGGTATGGAATTTTACAAGGGAATTGAGCCGTGAACAGTGCTCACACTAAAGGTAAGCAAGACAAAGCACACTGTCCTAAGTCCAAAGGAACTGGTGATTTCCCCAAGTGCACTGACTACAGAAAAATCTTAAATCAATTACTGAGTGGGAGGGGACATCTAATAAAGATTGTTACTTAAAAAGAAATACTCCCCCTGAAAAAAAAGATTAAAAATCTTGGAAGGGGGTCGGGATAGAGAATATGATGCAAAAGAGGACAGAAGCTGATGCAGTAGAACAGAAGGTGAGGGGTCTCATGGCACCGGATGTGATGTAGCTCATAAAAGCAGTGTCATGGGAAGATGGTGTTTGCTGACATATATGACTAAATTGAAATGCAGACTATGGAATCGTGTATGATATGTTTTTTTTTTAAACGAGCACAAATGAAGTAAGGAAAATTTGTCTATGTACAAACTGCTGAGCATTAGTTGTTTCTAAGTAGCAGGTCTGAAAGGGCTTTTATTTCCACTTTTTTATGCTGTGCATTTTCTGTTCTCCACAATGCACATGTATTACTTTAATAATCAGAGAAAAGGGTTAAGAGTAAGAGATTGTTGAAAAAAAAAAAAAAAAAAGAGCAAGAGATTGTTGCCGAGCTGGAATTTGACCTGCTTATATAAAGTAATGACATAAGAAACTACGCCTTAAAAGGGGTCTGTCTACCCTTTAATAACCTGGCATAGGTTATTACAGGCCATAAGAAAAATAAGTAGTATACTTTTGGCCAGTTGTATAAATATGTGACTATTCGTAAACTCTCTGAAAATCAACAGAGAGGGTAATGGGGAGGAATCATAAAGAATGGTATATTTATTTCATCAGTGGGGCCAGTTGTACCTTAGGGACATACATCTACTCAGCAAGAATGTAATATAAAGTTAGCTCTTCAACAAAGTGAACTCTTTGTACTCAAGTGCAGGGCTCAGGAGCACTGGTAGAAATGTGTCCATGCAACATTTTCTCCCACAAACTTGGGGCAATTCCGAGAATTTGGTAGCAAAACTCAATTGGATATAATTAGCCACAAATAAAGAAGCACAAGTAACCTAGGTTGAAAACAGAAGAACAGAGCAAGATGTAAGCTGCAAAGGAAATGGAGTCACCAGGCCCTGCTTCCAAACACCTCATCCTCCCCCCGCCAGCACTCCTCTCTCTGATCTGAGACGCTGCTGCCCTAACCAATGAGAGATGATAACAGAAAGGCTCGGTGGTTTGGTTTATCCCAAATAGGCAGATCTTAATGTCTAAATCCTCAGAGTAAAATAGGATCAAGGTATGCATTTTTGAATTGCAAAAGACATCAGATTATCCAATTATTCAGTAATCATTTGTAGAGCCTACATGTGTAAGAATTAGCTGTTTGTATCACAATATTATAAGCCATAAATACTCTGTAACCATAATGCAACCCAAAAGGATAGAGGGAACACTTTGATTGTAGAGTTGGACCCTGCTCAGACTCTCTCAGCCAGGATTCTCCTCCTGTGCAACGGTCCACTGTCCTGTCTCCACTGCTAGCACTTCTGCTCCTCTTTGTGGCAAAGCCTTTGCTAGGGTCACATGACACTTAAAGGGCACAGGAGCTTACGCGGTGATCAGGCTGTTGTGGAACCAGAAACAGCTGAATTCAAGATGCTTTTCACTCATCTCTTCAAACATCTTTACTGATAGATATTTACTGATAGATAGATAATGAGCTTGGTAGGACTTTGTAGAGCTGGGAGCAATATGTTACTTTCCTTCCTTCTGATAAAAAGGAAGATGAGCTGTGCCTCAACAGGAGCTCAAGTTTCCAGGGCACATGTGAGATGTGGGAAGGGCCCTCCTGCACAGACAGCTATGATGGGACCCCGGGGATGGCTACTGGGAGGAAGGTGTGTAGTATGCATGGGGCTGGCATTTCAGATGCATTAAAGCTCTTTCTGCTGAAGAAAAAGTTAATTAAATGGTTTTTAAAAATCAAGCCATTCCTCTGACTGCATTGGGGCTACTTATAAATGACTTCAGGTTCCTTCTCTGGCTCATGATCTTAGAATTCTCTAAAGGAAACCAGTAATTTTCCATTCTGAACTAGACTCTATTAAGCCTTTCTCCTTAATCAGTGCTGAGCTCTAGTTATAGAACGTTACTTTTACAATGTCCAAATTTTCATGCAGCATGAAATGCTAGAATCAAAGAAAATTTAGATAACACAACTAGATTTTATGCATAATACTAATCATAATATTATCAGATTTAATTAAGACAACTAATAATGGGTAAATTTATCCAAATTTATATGTGGCCTTTTGTTTTTAAAGGAACTCCACTAACGTTACATTTTTTTTTAAAATCTCTTTCAGGGAATTTATGTGCAACTTAAAATCCTGTAAAGACATATATTGTCAGTTATGGAAATCAATTGTTCTGTGTTAAGGGTTCCTTCTTTTAAAAAAAAATTACTTCTCCATCCTCTTTAACTTTTTGAATACTTATTCCTGGACACAGTGGAAATGAGAGACTGG